GAAGAAATGGGTCGTGGTGATGGGAATAAAAAATACCATCATGGTGTTTTGTTTGTGGAGTTGGGCAAGTAGAAGTTACGTGGGTCAAACTAACTCAGGCACGAGGGATGGCTTTGATCCCTTGCTTTTTTCTGCCCGGATTGAGAGGCTCCACCATCCTTGTTGTCTAGGAAGTTCAGCTGAGCTCTCCAGTTGTTCTCTGCATCCAGCCGCACGCTGCATCTTTGGTCTCACCCCGTTGTGTGTTACTTTCGTTTCCCTTATCTTGCATTTTAATGGTTTCACAATTTTCAGTGAGCCCAGACAGCACTGGGGTTTTGAGAGGGGCAAGGGAAAATCCCTCCTGTTTCGCTCAGTCAAATAAGTAAGAGGCCGTTGCCTGTACTTGCTTCTTGGGGAACGTAACTTGTTTGTTGATGGTTTGTAGGTCTTTCCTACTCTGCCTTTCAGCCCTATCTCAATCTCAGCTTCCTCTCCTCCTACAGTTAATTACCTTTCCTAGGTTGATCTCTCAATTCCTTTCCTCTTTAGGGAGTTGTGTTCATTAATATAAACGTAACTTAAAGCTCAAACCACATAATTCTTCCACCGAGGTTCCCACAGCTGTTACCTTTTTTTTTCCTTATTCCTCTCAGCATCTTCCTCTTCCAGCCTTCAACACGGCCTCTTGCTCTCTCCAAACTCCTCCACTCCCACGCAACCACTCAACAAGCTCTTGAGAGTTGCTCAGACTGGGCCCCTGAGATCTTCACGGTGGTTGCTCCCCGTGTCCTGTCCCAGGGCTTGGCCGTAGCCCTGTGTTCCCATCACTGCTTCCCATCCCTATTGTCTTCTTCTGAGCAATGGCCTGTGTATGCCAAAGGTGCAGCAAAGCGTCAGTGTACCTGGGGCTGTTTGCCCAAGAGCAGCAAAACAATTATTTAAATATTTTGAAAGGTAGGGATGCAGCCTAATATTTAAAGCTCTGGTCCTCTTGTTGACAGAGAGTAATGTTCTGGTGGTGTAGTGTCCCAAGAGGAAAAATGCATACACAATAAAACTTAAAGTACCAGAACACAGAATCACAGGATGGTTTGGGTTGGAAGGGACCTTAAAGATCATCCAGTGCCACCCCCTGCCTTGGGCAGGGACACCTCCCACCAGACCAGGTTGCTCCAAGCCCCCTCCAACCTGGCCTTGAACCCCTCCAGGGATGGGGCAGCCACAGCTTCTCGGGGCAACCTAGGCCAGGCTCTCACCCCCCTCACACCAAACAAGTTCTTCCCCACATCTCAGCTCCATCTCCCCTCTTTCAGGGTCAAACCCTTCCCCCTCCTCCTAGGGCTCCCCTCCCTGATCCAGAGTCCCTCCCCATCTCTCCTGGAGCCCCTTGAGGGACTGGAAGGGGCTCCAAGGTCTCCCCGGAGCCTTCTCTTCTCCAGGCTGAACCCCCCAACTCTCTCAGCCCCCTCTCCCAGCAGAGGGGCTCCAGCCCTCCCAGCATCTCCAGGGCCTCCTCTGGCCCCACCAACAGCTCCATGTCCTTCTGCTGGTGGTGGCCCCAGAGCTGGAGGCAGCACTGGGGAGGTGTCTCCCCAGAGCAGAGCAGAGGGGCAGAATCTCCCCCTGGCCCTGCTGGCCACGCTGCTGGGGATGCAGCCCAGGATGGGGTTGGCTTTCTGGGCTCAACATCTGATAGAGGAATAAAATGAAGATGCTTCAGTGCTTCTGTTGACTGTTAAACAAAGATACCCTGAAGCTTGTGCTGACTCCAGCTGATAAATGCACACACACCACGCTGCATCTAGATCTGAGCTGGCGTGTGAAGGACCAGCTCTGGAACCTCCATCCACAATTGGTTAGAAAGATCTTGCATCAGATTCAGTAGCCTGTGGACCAGCGAGCAGAGCTGGGCATCTCTTGGGGAGATCTTCTGCTTTTTGGTGACAGTTCCAAATGAGTTCTTGGGGACTTTGGCTTTTGAACCCAACAAGCCAAGTGGTGCCTGCCGTGTGGTTTAGAAGAATTGTGGAGTCAGCGCTTTAAAGAATTATGTAAGAAAGAGCTAATGAAATTTTCTTTTCATTGGATGAGTTCCTGCCGATCTCGTAGAGCAAATACCTGCTAGAAACAGGCACTTGGTAGTGATTGTGTTTGCACTGAACCTGTGATTAATACATGTAACCTACAGGTATGGCCAGAAAATGTTTTTCATAGTGATGCTTCACCCAAAAAAAAATCAAAACTAAGGTTTGTGAAACCTTCTGAGGGGTGGTGGAGTGCTCCTGCACACTTTGGCCGTTACTCGTAGGTCCCAGTGCGTCTTGAGCTGAACGCTTTTATCACAGATTAAATAATGAAAGCTTTGACTCAGGTGGTGAATGAGAGTGGGACGTTATCATAACATTGACTTCACCTCTATCCAACAAACTTGGAGTACGACGTCTGGAAAGAAGGCTGTGTATAATTTCTGCTTTATCAGCTCGAGGAGAGAAAACTGTGTTAAGTGCATTATGCACATCCTAAAGCTGGAGTATTCTGGAGAAAAATACTTCTAGAAAATCTAAAGTAAATGGAAGGACAAACATGGGGAAAAAAGCTCCAATTGAAGTATAGATTTTCAAGGAATTGCAATCTGAATTTTAAAAAATTGATAATTTGTAAATAAAATGCAAAATTCTGCTAAATGTATTGATTTAATAGCTTTGGGTGTCCCTTTGTAAAACAACTCAGTTTTAAAATCAGTTACATCTTCAGTTTGTTAGAGGTGCAATTAAGGCATTTGAATGAGAATATTGCCTAAGGCCAGTTCGGAGTTAACGAGAAAGTATTTAGGTGGTGACCGGAACATTTAACATTTCTGTAGAAAGTTAAGTAATGTGGGAAGTTGTGCTCTGTGGTTTGAAGAGGTGCTTTAAAAAATTGTTAAGATATCGTTTGTCCACATCTTGATAGTGCTATTTTAATTGTTTTCTCCCAGCAGTGTTATTTCCATATGTATAATGGAGGTAGCAAATACATTTTTAAGCAATGGAGTATCTTGAAGTTGGGTTAGTTACTGGGTTTTGCTTCAAGATGTAAAAAAAATAAATAATAATAATTTAAAAAAAAATTAAAAAAAAGGAGAAAAACCTGATCTTAGTTACATCACTCTAAATCTGGAGTAACTGTCTGGCAGCTCCTAAGCAATGCTTGTTTCTCTGATTAACATCTGGTGCCTGGTGAAGAAAGTTTGTCATTTATCGCTGCTTTTTCTTCCCAATTGTGTATATCCCTGTTAAGATGTTAATTCGGCGTATTTAGAGATATTTGTCTCCTCATTAACGGATTTGTTCTTGCCGATTGTAATTGTTGACGGGATTAAAAAGGCAACCAAAATGCTTTTAAACAAGTTGTTTGGTACCTGTGATCCGGCGTTGAAGAAAAATCTCAGCGTTTAAGAAAAATCTCAGCCGGGTGTACCCTTGGCCCTTTCTAAATGAGTTGGCAGCGCTTCCGTCTGATGGCGAGGCAGGGTGTGTTTATAAAACAGCTTTTTTGGGAGCCGAACTGTCACGCTGCTGGGTGAAAAATGGCTTTCCTGGTTGCGTTGGTTTTCTTCCCCAGCAGCGGTGGGAGCGCGACTGGGTTGCGCGGCTGATGGCTGGGCACTGACACACTTCAGTCAAGCGGGGGCATCCTTGGTCTTTCACAAGTCGGCAACGTTGGCCAGAAGGATTTCCTCCTCAAAACTGAAGTGCCGGCGACCAGAGTCAATTGCTGGCTCTATATTTGCCTTCGTTTGGGGACCCCTCGAGCTCTAAAGGACGTAAATAGCACGTGGGGTCCGTCCGCACGCTCTTAATGATGCTACGTGATAAAAAAATAAGCGGGGTGAGCTCTTTCTGCATAACTCAGACTTCGGGTTTGTGTCAGTCGAACGATTCTTTCTGCCTGTTTAATTAGGTCTCGGAAGTTTTTAAAGTGACAATATTTTTCTGGTGAAACAAGCAGGTATTTCTTCAAAGCCCCGGCTGCCATCGGTACATTCCCGGCTGAGCTGGGGAAATCACGGCCGGTCACAAACCCCAAACCCCTGAAATATTTCATTCCCTTTTAATTCTAACAAAAACGCTACTTGCAGCGTCAAAATACCCTTTTTGGGAAAAGGCTGTTATTAGCTCATGAGGCTTGCTAGAAGCCACCCTCTGATGACAATTTCTGGCCAAAATTCCCTTTCCACCAGGAAAAACGAAAGCCTGGGAGAGGCAGCTCTTGGGGTATGGTTGGGTGTGGGGGAGCCCCCTGCTGTAATCACCTCTAGGCAATTGTCCCCACAAGAGGAAGAGCACGGCCAAAAACTTGATGCTGGAACCCATACGAGGAGGAAGGTCTTCATGGCGTGTCACCAACACCACTTCAAGCCCCACGCTGTGGTGGTCCATGGCAACTCATGGTGGACTCAGGCTTTTTTGGTCCCAAGAACCAAACGTGGCTGCGTTTTGGGGGCATCTTTCCCAGGGTGTGTGTCACGAGCCGTGCGGGTCCGTGCCTTGAGTATTTAAGCGTGGGGTTCCCACTGGTACAATTCTTGGCCCGTTCTCCTTGTTGTGTGGATCTGGAATCTGTGGATCTACATCCTTGGGAGACAAGTGCCGAGGGCGACGACCGGAGATAATAACTTGGGATTTGGGTCTTTTGCAAGTTACAGTCATTGTACCCTGACAGCTGTGGAGGACCTAAACTCACATCAAAGGGGGCAGATCATCTAGTTAGGTCAATTAATGTTAATTCTCATCTTCCATTAAATTCTTTTATCTTCTTCTCTTTTTTCTTTTCTTTTCTTTTTTTTTTTTTTTTCTTTTTTTTTTTTTTTTCTTTTTTTTTTTTTTTTCTTTTTTTTTTTTTTTTCTTTTTTTTTTTTTTTTCTTTTTTTTTTTTTTTTCTTTTTTTTTTTTTTTTCTTTTTTTTTTTTTTTTCTTTTTTTTTTTTTTTTCTTTTTTTTTTTTTTTTCTTTTTTTTTTTTTTTCCCTTTCTTGCAGCCAAGCCCAATACCAAGTCCTGTTTTGGGGAGAAAGCCAAACGCGAGTCAGTCACTGCTTGTGTGGTGCAAAGAAGTTACGAAAAACTACCGGGGAGTGAAAATCACCAATTTCACTACGTCGTGGAGAAACGGCTTGTCTTTTTGTGCAATATTACATCACTTTAGACCAGACCTAATGTAAGTCGTGTGCTCTCTGTCTGCATAAACTAACGCTCCTAGAAATAAGCAATATTTATGTAAAAATCAAGCCCCTGATGGTCTCAGGGGTCGCAGCGTTTTCAGCCTTTTCTTTCAAGCGGGGAAGCGTCTGAGAAAACAGATTTCTGGAGGCTCCAAACTTTCCGACCTCTTTGCTCACCCTTGTTGCATAAACAATTGTTTCTCCCCCTCTCCGTGATTTGTTTTCCTTCTTCCTAATCTTATACAAAGAACTGACTTCGAGATGATTATGAAAATTGTGCCGGTGTTGAAATGAGATGAGAGGAATAAGCCTGTAGCTCTTTGTGGGCTGACAAGGACGGATTACCTCCTGGTAAATTTGGTTGTCAAGGCCGGCCTCTAGTCTCCTGCCTTAACTTCTTTTTTTAGATGGAAAGCTTCAGGCAATGAAACATGTAATCGGTGTCTATTTATTTATTTATTTATTTATTTATTATCTATCCCTTTAATTTTCCACACTATTCGTTTTGTTGATTGAATTGCTGTGAAATTGCCGGTTACTGTACGATCTTCTTGTTGGGCGAATTTTTTTTTATTTTTTTATTTTTTTTAGATTGGGTTTGTTTTATAAAACTGCTTGCTTTTATCAAATGCTGTACGTAACCCACTGTGCCGTTTTCTCCCCCTCAGTGACTACAAGTCCCTGAATCCTCAAGATATTAAAGAGAACAACAAAAAGGTAAGAACTGCCACGGGGAAAAAAAAAAATAATAATAAGACATAGCCTCATTTTGGGCTTCTCTGCGGGTTTTTATTAATTTTGGGGAAGTGTGGTTGTTTTGTAAGGTCATAACCGCGGCTCACAGAAGGTACTCAGCCTCCCGTGGTTGAAATTGGATGCGTTATTGACTCGGGTTTGTCATGGTCTTTAATGTTCACAACAAGTGTGAGGCTGGTGTTAGAGTGTCGTATTTGCACGCCCCGCGTTACGTGTGGACGCGGGGGAAGGAGCTGGCCACCCCCCTCCCACCACTCCTCTCAGCCCCCTCGTCAGCCATGTAATTAAAACAGAACCAAAACCCCGGGTTTGGGGAAGGCAGGACTGCTCTTTTCTCTTTCTCCACTGCTTTGATGGGGAATTTTTGTGGTTTTTAAAGGTGAAATTGGGCCCCCGCTTCTACACGCATGGGTTGGTGTAGAACCTGGATTTTTACATGGCACAAGTTTAGGATGAAAAGTGTCAAGGCAATACCTGGCAAATAAACCAAAATATTGGAAAAAAATAGCTGTGGGCAGCTGCTTGAGACTGTTCTTCATGCCTTTGTGATGCGAAGGTGTAAAAAGTTTCTCTGGCAGAAGCAGGAACTCACCAAAAGACTTACTTCTGCTTGCTGGTTTAGGTGTGCTACAAACTTTGGTTGGGCCCCAGGGACATGTGTAGAAATTAAAATCTTCATGTGAGTCACTGATAATAAAATTGTTCCTGAAGATCGTCTGAAAATTGTTTTTAAGCAGCTGCCTCCTCAGCACCGTGATTTCATTTTTACACCACTTTAAAAGCACTTCTTATGAAGGCATAAAAATATACTTCGAATAAATTGTGTTCGATATTATATAGCAAATGTAACTAAAGAGTATTAGGTTGGAATTTCTGAAAGCACTTTATGAAAATTCATTTGTGTTTAGGGAAATTCTGTTTTAATGTGCCTGCACACTGGTGTGTTCTGGTCCTTACTGGTACTTCAGCGTTATAAACACCAAAATCTCTCTGAGCTACTGTCATCTGAGGAGTGACTTGGCCAACGGTACCTTCTCCATAATGGCGCGGGGTCGTGCGATGACCTACGTGGATTAGCTCTGACATCGCGGTGTTTCCCGCGCCCATATGGTTTTGCACTTCACATTTTCTCGAGCGTCCGGGCTAATTAAGATGGATTATAAAAAAAAAAAAGAAAGAAGAGATTATTCATGAAAAGCGTTAGCAGTACCATCAGCCACCTTTCCTTTACGAAACCGTGATGGCAAAAGCCAAACTTTGTTTTTTAGCCCCTCTCCCCGCCAGGGTGTAGTTCTCAGGGCTGGAGCAGTAACGATTGTTGTTCTTATGCAGTTGGGTGGGTTTTTTTTATTTTATTTTGTCTTTCATCACCCCTCCAGCCTCCGCCCGACAGCGATGTTGAGCATCTCAGTTGCTTCCTGCAGATTTATTTCCTGGTCTTACACAGTTCTGCCCGATAACCCCACCTGCCCCGGGCTGGGACCAAATTCCACCCAGATACCTAACGAGTCGGACAATGTTTCCTCCTAACCAATTAAAATAACATCTGTGGATGAATAGGACAATTTTCTTTGTCTGAAGCATCTCTTTTTTTTTTTTTTTTTTCCCTCCGTAGATTAAAGATTAACCCCATAGAGTATATCTTTGAGAAGTGTGTCACCTTGTTTGTATTTTAATTTAAAAACAAACAAACAAACAAAAAAGAAGAACTCTTAAGAGACAACTATTTCAGTGCAATTACTGTGTATAATGACCCATTGAAATGTGTTACAAAAAAAGGGAGTTTCTTTATAATGCGTTTGCCAAATAGGGGCTGCCACTGATGCTGATTTGAAAAAAAAAGGGTATTTACCTGTGACATCTGATCTTGGCCAATATGTCAGTGTGTTACATAGTTGGGAACTGGTTGGAAAACTGCCCGTGGTGCTTGTGCTGATGGATCCCAATTGATGTCTGTCAATCAGCTTGTCAGTAAGTTTAAAAAAAAAATAAGAAAAAAAAAAGAAAAAAAAAGAAAAAACTTCATCAGGAGATCCATAAATAAGTTTAGTGTCCTGAAAATACATACATGTGTGTGTGTGTATTGGAATTTCCACAATATAATTGTATGTCAAAAAAAAACCCCTCCAAACAACTCCAGATTCCATCAGCGTTAGTCAGAATTCAGATGTATTTTTGGTGCATTGTGCTCATTGAAAATTCAAATTTCTGTGAGGAACAGAAGAGAAACCAGGATTATCTTTGAGAAAATGAAAAACATTACAGGGATACTCTTCCAGCTGATCCAAAGAGTCCTGGTTCCACTGAAGTGTCATTTATATCTAACTATCCATATAGCCTTCCCAGTAACGTTAACCAACTGATTTTATTTATGATGTCAATTTTATTAGTAGGAAGTAGTAATTAAAAATGTGTTAAAATTGCAGCATCCTGGCAGTACAGTCCCTTATCAAGCACAGAAATTTTTCATGTTGCTAATAGCATGTCCTGCACGTTGGAAGTGTGAGCTGCTGAACCACACTTGGCTGGAGCTTGGAGGGGATGAAGGGGCGAGATGGGGAAGGGCGCAACAGTGTGGCTCTAATAATGAACTTCTGCTTTTAATTACTCCATTCTTTAGAGAAGCTTGTCTCATCGAGGGATTATTGCGCGGAAATGGCAATACGTCTTCTGGATGTTCGAGTGGCACTTTGCATTTTTGTGATGGCCTTATTATTTTAATATTTTTTTTTGCCTTTTTTCCAGTTTTTGGGCATTTCTGCTAAATCCCTCAGTACATTTGAACTCAGTTGTCTTGGCCAAATATTCCACTTCTCAAGGGGGGAATCCTTTTCGAATATGTGTTTTAAGGAGAAGAATTGGGAATCACAGGGGTAGCATTGGGTTAAAATGGGAAAAGCTCCTTGCCCTGCAGCTGGCGGCCGTGGGTTTATAGCCGTGTCTTATTCATCGCTCGCTTCTACCCTGTGATGCCACAAAAACAGAAGCCCGTCTGCAACTCCCCGTGTAGGAGTTGTTCCTTGACCCCGGGAGGATCAGGCGGGAGGGCTGTCCAACCCGCGGGTAAACATTTGCAAAATCAAGGCTGAGTTATACCCCTGTTGGACACAACAATTGGACTTGGGAAATGGAGTCTGTTAACACCGAGTTGCAAACTGGTGAGAAACGCTCCGCGTTTCTAAATATACTGGAATATCCAGGAGCCCCCGCCTATTTCTAGCAGGGAAGGAGAACCCATCACGGGCTGCTCTATGGACACGTACAAAACATCCCGTGGCTAATTATAGAACTAATGACTGTAAAACATGTGCGTGCCAACCTAGGTATCTGGTGTGGTTAAGAAGGAGAGAAACAGGGATGTGTATCATCCAGAAGGAGAAGGAGAGGGGATGGGAAATGAGTATCTGGCATCAGTGGAAGACCCTTATGTTTAATGCTGAGCATCACCAGAAGAACCGAGCTGACAGTGAAAAGCGATGGCAGCCCCACTGAGAACATCCATCGCTCCAAATCCAGTCCATCTGCTGGAGCATTACCCCTTCTAGGTCTCTCCTGGCAACTCTGAAATAGTCCCCACTGTCATTTTACAGACCTTGGGAGATGATCCTAGGATTTAGTTTTATTAGCATATAAATAAGAAATTAAAAGTATGAAAGAGTTCAGGTCATAGAATCATAGAATGGTTTGAGTTGGAAGGGACCTTAAAGATCACCCAGTTCCATCCCCCTGCCCTGGGCAGGGACACCTCCCACCAGCCCAGGTGGCTCCAAGCCCCCTCCAACCTGCCCTTCAACCCCTCCAGGGATGGGGCAGCCACAGCTTCTCGGGGCAACCTGGGCCAGGCTCTCACCACCCTCACACCAAACAAGTTCTTCCCCACATCTCAGCTCCATCTCCCCTCTTTCAGGGTCAAACCCTTCCCCCTCCTCCTAGGGCTCCCCTCCCTCATCCAGAGTCCCTCCCCATCTCTCCTGGAGCCCCTTGAGGGACTGGAAGGGGCTCCAAGGTCTCCCCGGAGCCTTCTCTTCTCCAGGCTGAACCCCCCAACTCTCTCAGCCCCCCCTCCCAGCAGAGGGGCTCCAGCCCTCCCAGCATCTCCGGGGCCTCCTCTGGCCCCGCTCCAACAGCTCCATGTCCTTCTGCTGGTGGTGGCCCCAGAGCTGGAGGCAGCACTGGGGGGGTGTCTCCCCAGAGGGGCAGAATCCCCCCCTGGCCCTGCTGGGCAGGTCATGTCTGTGGGCTTTGGCTGCCGTGGACTGCTGAGCCCATCCTTAGGTCCTTTCATTCCTCAGATGGTAACTCCCACTACCTCCAGCGTGGGGCAAGAGGTTGTTTGTGCCTCTGAGTCAGCACTGACCCACTTAATCAAACAGCACATCCTGCTGTTACCTTTGGCCACCAGAAGAATGTGGCCAGCTTTTGCCATGCTTTCAGGGCCAGCCTTTTTTTTTCCATCTTTAGTGGTCCCTGCCAAAGCTGGGGCTGCCCCCCAGATCCCCACACTCCTCTCACTCTCCATTCTCTGTGCTTCTTGTCTCTCTTCTGTCCCACCTTTCTCCTCTCCCTCTCCTCCTTGTCCAGCCTGGTCCTGCTCCTCCGGCTCCGTGTCCCAACCCCCAGTAAATGACGGTCCCTCTTCTACCATCCCAGTTCTTTCCATTCCCTCCCACCCATCATTCTTCTGCAGTTCTGGATACTTTGCTTTGTATCAGCAAATACAGCGTTCCTGTTTGCCTCCACTGCTTTTACTCCTATATCGAAGCACAGCTCTGCTTTTATAAATGGCATAACAGTCTCTCATAATCATGGAATCATGGAATCATTCAAGTTGGAGAAGACCCTTGGGATCATCCAGTCCAACCATCAACAAAGTTCTCTACAAAGTTCTCTACAAAGTTCTCCCCTACACCATATCCCCTAACCCCCCACCGAAGAAGCAATACCCCACCAAAGACCAGCAGGGATCTTGAGCCAAATCATTTTGCCCAGGGAGAGCCAGAAGGACCCAAAAATAAATTATCCGGATAATTCCTGTGTCTAGATAAACTCTGTGAATCGTTTGTTATAGCGATATAAAAATTGCTTCACCAAAAATGCCTTGGGAAATTATCCTCCCTGAGCAGGAGGGACAGCACGCCAAATTTGAGGAAGATAGAGTCCAGCTCATTGAACTTTCACTGAATTTTTAGAGTTGGAGGGGACCATAGAGATCATCTAGTCCAAGTCCCGTGCTGAAGCAGGATTGCCTAGAGCTAGAGCATGTTAACTGAATTTTCACTGAATTTTTAGAGTTGGAAGGGACCATAGGGATCATCTATGGGATGATCGCTCCTGGGAGTGGAGTTAAAAATGAAAACTGTTTGACCCCCCCGACGAAGGAATGACGTGGCAATGGGAATGGGAGCTCCTCCTTTTCTCAGAGCAAGTCAAATAACTCTCTGCTGGGAGCTGGCCAGGCTCGACCCGTGTTCCCACTCACCCCTGAACATTTACCAGTATGAAAACCAAAAATCATAATTGATTTCTCTTTTTTTATTTTTTTTTCCTTCCACCCATCTAAAACTAAATAAATCAAGGAATTAGCGTGAAACTGGGTGGCGTTGAAGCCAGCCGTGTGTGTGAAAGGACAAGTTCTTGTCCTTGTGTCCTAAATTGAACGTCCCTTTTGGTTCTAAGTGGTGCAGGAACAGCCTGGGAATGTTTTAACCCCTTCAGAAGAGGGTGAAAAGGAGCTGCAGAATCACCAGGGGGGAAAAGCTCCGAGGGCTTTAGCCAAGTGCGTCTACGCTGACAGGAGGCCTTTTTAAAGGCTTCCTTGAAACACAATATTGTCTTCCAGGGTTAATCCAGGATAGTAATAATTAATTGTAAATTGAGAAACGGCTTTAATTCTTCAAAACTAGAAAAACCTGATGCACCAAGCCCACTCACTTAAAGGGCTAGCAGAGAGAAAGACAATGTGGCCTCACAAAGTGGGAGGCTTTGCAAACTCTTCGGCTTTTAGAAATTAAGAGTGAAGCAAAAGTCACATTCGCTCTCCTGTTCTTCTAAATTTAGCCTCAACAAACGTTGAAGATGCATTTGTTTGCTGGATTAATACGATTTGTGTTTTGTGTCGGGTGATCTGTGGCGATGTTCTTTTTAGGCTACTTGGACGTAGGTTTTCATCAGCACAAATCACTGCAATTAAGTGCCCAGTAGAAGGGAGGAGGTCGAGCACCGGTGATAAAGCCCAAGATGGATTAGGATCGTGTTTCTTGTATCTTTGTCCCTTATCTTAAAAAGCCATCCTTGGCTGCTTTTCTCTGGTCCAACTCTTGGCACTTTATTTTTATTTCCTTGGTTTCCTACTACTCGAGTGAGAACCGTTTAAGATACCGGTAGGTTTTCTTAGTGCAAACAGAAGGGCTTTTAAGTTGCAGTCTCAGAATCACAGAATCTTCTAGGTTGGAAGGGACCTTAAAGATCATCTTGTCCAGCCGTCAACCTAACTGACAAAAATAGACACCCACACAACAAACAAGAAACATCACCATCACTAAACCATACCTCCCAGCACTACATCAACCTGTCTTCTGAACACCTCCAGGGATGGTGCCTCAACCACCTCCCTGGGCAGCCCATCCCAATGGCTGATAACCCTTTGGGTGAAAAATTTTTTCCTAATATCCAGCCTGAACCTCCCCTGGAGTAACTTGAGGCCATTTCCTCTTGTCCTGTCGCCTGCGACTTGAGAGAAGAGACCGACCCCCACCTCTCTACACCCTCCTTTCAGGGAGTTGGAGAGAGCAATAAGGTCTCCCCTCAGCCTCCTCTTCTCCAGGCTGAATAACCCCAGCTCCCTCAGCTTCTCCTCATAAGACTTGTGCTCCAAGTTGCAGTCTTGTCAACCTCTTTTCACTCATGAAAGTGGGCACCACTGGGAGTAACCAAAGACTTTGTTATAGTTTGGTAGCACGTTAGAAATATTTAAAACAATGCCACCTACGTGTCTGTGCTGGTGAGGATCTCTCGATTTGTGTTGCTATGGAGGTAGACACCCTGGGAGAGCTCTAGAAGCCATCAGCAAAACTCAATTAGTTCAGATGTGCAACAAAAAATAGTAAGTACCGCAGTGAAGCCCAATAGAGTAGGGAATAGAGTTGAGCCCAGACTCTTCTTTGCTTATTTTGACTGAAAATTCCACTTGCGTTTTCTGGGAATGTTATGACACGTGGGAAGCTGCCGCGTTGTAATCCTCATTTTGTCTGTTTTCCAAGGCGTACGATGGGTTTGCCAGTTTGGGAATATCGCGGTTGCTGGAGCCTTCCGACATGGTTTTATTGGCGATACCCGACAAGCTGACCGTGATGACCTATCTCTACCAAATACGGGCGCACTTCTGCGGCCAGGAGTTGAACGTGGTGCAGATAGAGGAGAACAGCAGCAAAAGCACCTACAAAGTGGGGAATTACGAGACGGACCCCAACAGTTCCGTCGACCAGGAGAAGTTCTATGCAGAGCTGAACGACCTGAAGCGGGAGCCGGAGCTGCATCCCCCGGACAGCGCTTTGGTGGACTTTGCTTCTCAAGATGACTCCGTCTTCGTCACCGACAGTGGGGTGGGCGAATCCGAGAGGGAGCACCAGACTCCCGACGACCACCTGAGCCCCAGCACGGCTTCTCCGTCTTCTCGCAGGACTCGGAGCGACACGGACCCGCAGAAATCCCAGCAGAGCTCCGGCAGGACTTCTGCCTCCGAAGAGGTTGGGAAGTGCGGCGCTACGGAGGCCGCGCAAGCGCCGCCAGTGCCGGGGAGGAAGAAGTTGCTGGTGGGTGACACTTTGGACCTGAGTGACTTGGCCCACGTCAGCGATCCAAAAGAGGACACCTCTCCCACCATCACCTGTGAAGATAACGACAAGAAGAGACACCAGAGCTCAGACAGCCCTGTTGGTTTCTCTGAGCTAGACAAGCCGGGGTGTGTAGCATCCGTAGAGAGCACAAGAGCAGATCCAGGTTCACCTGTCACGAAGCCCAGTTTATCTCCCACTTCTAAGCTGGGCTACTCCTACAATAAGGACACAGACCTTGCAAAGAAACCGCACGCTTCTCCGAGGCAAACAGAATCCGATTGGGAGGTCGAGGCCAGATCGGCTGGAAATCATGCAGATCAAACTGCCAAAACAGCCCAGGTAAGAAATTTAAACTTTCTTTGTGCCTGGGGGTTCAGGATGGAGATGCTCTTCGAGGTCTTTCTCCACGTTTGTAATTCACATCGTCTCTTCAGCCTAAATGACAAGGTGGGTGGCGTGTCTGTACTCATAGAATCATAGAATCTTTCAGGTTGGAAGAGACCCTTGGGATCATCAAGTCCAACCATTTGCCATTTGCCCATTTATTGTTGGGCAATAAATGCTTTGGCTGAAAGTGGGTGATGCTGAAAAATCATGAAAAGTTGCATGAAAAATTCATTTGTAGGAACTGTCCTACTGTTGGGCTTTCCATCTCTCTCCAATGAAAGGAGGTAAAAGTCATACTCTCAACCAGCTTGAAGAAAATGGCTTGAAGGGTTTTCCCACCTTTCTCCTGAGTATTGCCTGCTGAAGCAAAAACTGGAAAAAGGCTTTCAATGAATTCATTGATCCATATTCAAAAACTGCGACGTTCTGAGTTACCTTAAAACACACCAAACGAATTTCAAAATCTTGTCTGAGAAACCCCACAGCCTCGTGGACGTAGCCGTGATGGGGAGGTAGAAGCTCCGGAATATTAAGTTCCGCTGCTCGTTGAGTGGCCTCGAGCCACTACTTAACCACGATATCGTTTTCCTTTCTATAAAGATAAAAAGAATACACCCACCTACCTTGCAGATCTATTGTGAGGATGAAAGTTGAATATTACATAAATGCTGGGTATTATCGGTAAAGCGTATCATCACAAAAATATGTAAAAAATGTTATCAGCCCTGTTTATAGAAATACCAAAATCAGCTTATAATTTTTCCCCCTGTGAAGAGCTTTCCTGAGTTTTGGCTTTGTTTGGCTTTGTGCCACTAGGTCTGATAAGAAAAGAATATAGCCACTTGTTTAGTAGTGTGGATTGCTTCAAGTATTTTTAAGTTTTTTGCTGAGTGAGCACCATAAAGATTCAGTTTATTGCAAGAGAAGCAGTCCTTAGGTGGGTTAGAGTGGCCAAATATTAGTTCCCTAGCCGACTACATTTCTTTCCTTTTATCAGTAAAGACTCATGAAGTTTCTCTTCACCATCATCTTCATGTACTGGATGAGGAGGGAACAATTTGGTCCCTACAGAATAATAGAGCAGGGGGAGAGAGGATGTCTTCTCTACCGAGATTTGCATGTGCAAGGGTGTATTAGGCCAAGAAAAAGGAAGAGATGACTTCAAAAACTGTCCTCTGTTGTGAGTTCTCTGTGCGTTTGCACTCAGTAATAAAATCTCAGATGTGAGCCTCACTCTCAATCTTGGGCACTCAGTTGTTGGTTAGAGTCAACCATGGCTGCCTCATCCCTGGAGGGGTTCAAGGCCAGGTTGGAGGGGGCTTTGATCAACCTGGTCTGGTGGGAGGTCTCCCTTCCCAGGGCAGGGGGTTGGAATGAGATGATCAAGGTCCCTTCCAAACTAAACCATTCTATGGTCTCCATTTCCCCATGGTTGTTGCAGGAGCACAACCTGCAACCTCTGTCCCAGTGCTACCTCATGTGAAGACATAGAGACACATTGTCCCAGAGTCTTCCCAGTTGACCTTGACTGAGGAGGCAGCCCTGGGGCATATATGTGTAAGGGAGTATATACGTATGGGGGTATATACATATGGGGGTATATATGTATGGGAGCTCACCCTGCTCGTGCAGAAGCTCCTCTTCTGTTAATTCTCTGCAATATAATTTGTCACGTGCATGAAGATGGGACTTCCTTGTGGATATTCACAAATGAAGCAGAAGCAGATATTTTTCTTGCCGGGTTTTTGCCTTCTACCCAGCCTCTCTGTGTTCAGTTTAAGTTATAAATGAGCGATACCCGTATAAATAGCCAACGAAGCATTATATTTGCATACATATTAAAGTAAATAAGTAAACACATAGCGCGTTTAACATAGGCTTCCATGAAGCCAATTATTTCTTGTCCACAGTTGCAGTTTAAAGGCATTAAATGTTGATAGAAATTAAGTTTTAAGGGGAGGGGAGAGAACTCTTATTTACATTATAAAGGCCTGTGACTTTTTTTTTTTAATTTTACATTTTGATCATCTTTACTTTTCATTTCTGTAGAATGCTCTGTCACCTCATGAAGCTGTAAACCATGTGACTCCTGACCTTTTATTATATAGGAAGGCTCCTGGCCATTAACTACTGTATAAATGTTAAGTACCCCGAGGCTGCCTCGCTGTTAATTGTATTTCTTTATTTTTAAGCAACGAATGTTGTCAAGACAGGAAGAACTTAAAGAACGAGCAAGAGTTCTGCTTGAGCAAGCAAGAAGAGATGCGGCTTTAAAGGCAGGGAATAAGCAACTCTCCAATCCCATCATCCCGGCCCGCAATAAGCAGCTGAACGATGTAAGAAATATTGGCAGTAAGATTACGATTCTTCAATTGCAATTGTCTTACAATTCTTCCTCCATTTCTTACGACTCTTACAGCATTGTAAGAAAGTTTGGCCGTTTCCATGGTTAGAATTCCTTGGAGGTGCACGTGCTCCTGTGGGCGGCGGGTCCTTGCAGAACGTTTCTTTTCCACACCGGGTCTCCGGGTGCCCTAGTGTCTCCCGTGCCCTCCTTTCACTTTTAAAACCCCTTTCTCCCGCCGCTGTGGCCGAGGGGAAGGTGCCGCAGACTCCACTGGGAGCTGCGGTCCAGGAGCACCTTCTTTGATTGGCACCACAATTTCTAATGGGACCAAAAAAAACCCACCAAAAGTTACTTTTTAAGTGACAGCAGAGTAATTGATGCTATTTTCCATTACTTCTTTTTCTCTGGAGCCTGTGATGTCACCTACTTGCTGCTTGGTGAGTGTGGTGGCAGTGAACGGGGCTGCTTGTGACCACGAGTTGGTGGAACAAGTCCTTTTTGTCCCCAGCGTCGGTCAGGCTGGGGAGATGGGAAAGTGGAGCTGGGGAACGAGCTCCAGCGTGGCAGCCGCCCCTCCAGTGGCCTCTGTGCTGACCTGGAAGGATGTGTTACTCTCTGGAGATGAAAGCTAATTAATTTTTATGGAAACCTTTGTCAAAACTGACACTTCTTTTTTTTTTTTTTTAATATATGCATGTGTGCAGACAAGTCTCATTTGTATAATGATATATAAGCAACTTCTTATGACTTTATATTTAAGTTTTTCCTAGATAAGTGTATTTTAGTATAAATTTCACTTTGGAATATTTTTTTAATTGGTTTTTCATAAAGCAAACAGCATCAGAGGAGGGATACTACAGGCAACTACTCAGGCAGGAACAACTGTGATTAAATTTGCCTAACATTTTTTATTACAAGCTCCTATTTTCAAAGGTTTTGCAACTTTGCTAGTATTCCATTGTTTGAGCTGAGATTTTCTCCATCAGCTCTCTGCCTCAGGGTAATATTTATTTTTACTTTTTTCCTTCAAAAAAAACCCACCCTGTTCAACCGTTTCTCTGTATTAGTTTGGATAAAACATTGTTTTATCCGTGTTAAAAAAATGTCTTATGGGAAGAAGGTTCCATCCCCTTGAAAAATCTGTTCAAACCAAAGTTGCGTTAATAGCACAGTCTTGTCAACTGTAGTTCAGAAAAGCTGGTCAGTAAAAATTGCCTGTATGGACACAGCCCAGCAAGAGCATCTTCTGCCGTGGCTCCCCCAAGGACCAGGGCCCATTCTGATGGAGGTGGTACCATTGGAAAGCAAAATTTCCTCTTTTAGACTCAAACTCCTGCTAATGAAAGCCCAACGGGAGGGAAAGGAGCTGCCCCACAGGCACACAGAAGAGAGATGCTCCTGGTCAATGGCAAAGAGGGAGATGGCAGTGTGGAGTTAGACGAAAATCAAGACTGTGTCTAGGCTGTGAAAACCAGCTGAAGGACAGGAGATGGGGATGGAGTTTTCAGGGTGAGAGTTGTTATTGCATAGTTCAGGGAGCCAGATTACCCATGGGACCTTCTGTTGTTGATTACAGGAGCTGAAAACTGAATAAGTAGCCTGTAGGAAAGGGAAGGGCAGACCAACATTTCCTTCTGCCTCCATCAGAAGCTCTTTGCAATCTTGGGAAGGTACCTTCAACCCAACGTACTGGAGGTGGCATTATTCCTTAAGAACCAAGATTTCTTTGTGCCTTCATCAGAAGCATTTTGCAGTGTTGGGAATGTAGCTTCAACCCAACGTACTGGAGGTGGCATTATTCCTTGAAGAACCAGCATTTCTTTCTGCCTCCATCAGAAGGATTTTGCAGTGTTGAGAAGGTACCTTCAACCCAACGTACTGGAGGTGGCATTATTCCTTAAGAACCAAGATTTCTTTCTGCCTCCATCAGAAGCTCTTTGCCATGTTGGGAAGAACCAACATTTCTTTCTGCCTCCATCAGAAGCTCTTTGCCATGTTGGGAAGCTTCAACCCAACGTATTGGAGGTGGCGTTTTTTCTTGATTGCTCATTTCCAACCCAGGATTCGTGGGCACCAATTTCTGGAAGTTTTGAGCACCCACTTGTAGCCAAGTCAAGGGGAACTGTGCTGGGGATGAATGGTCCTGGCCCATTTTAAATCTTGGGTGCTCCAAGCAATCAAGGAACGGGTCCTCTTGGCTTGAGTTGATTGTATCATAAGAATAACAAAAGCTCCTCAGCTCGGAAGGGTGTTGGGGAGATGGAATTTGGAAGCCCTTGGTTACGATAGTGAAGAGTGCCACAGAAATGCTCTGGAGGAATTAATAGTTCTGTGGTCAGAGGCAAGTTTAAATCGCGTATTTTAAACAAGGTGGAGGGCAGCATATATAACATATACCTATGTTATATACATACCCATACGTGTGTGTGTTCTGAATGAGGATGTATGTATGCATCAACATACAGAGATAGAAGATAAAATGCATTGATTTCTGGTTTTCTTTAACATATTTGATCTTCGTGAGGATGAGGCATTTCCAGTTGATATAATTGTGCCAGTTTGCTACGGGCCACTGCGTGTTTGGTCGTTAGAAAATGGTACAGACTCGTTTCTGTTCGGTGTTTTCTGGTCGTTAAGGCTAATAATAAGAATTTTGGCTCAGAGCAGCGTGGTGTGTGTCGGGGGGCAATAATGTGGAGTAGTGTGTTACCCAAATTAGAGTTACGATAATGAGAATGGGCATTTAGTAGTGGGAACTGGACTAGGCTCGTTTTGGGGATGGATTGAGAGGGATTCAAAGGAAAATGGTTTCAAACAGGAAGATCTAATTTTAAATAAGAGAACTTTAAAGAGATAGGCCAAGGCCAATACTTTGAAAAAGTAACTCTTGAAGTTTGCAATTGCACGTTTTTTCGATACCTTCAGGAAAAGAGCTTCGGGCAGCCTGGCCTTTCACAGTGTGCTCTGAAAATCAGTCACCCCAGCAAAGTGGGACCAGCAGAGTCATTAGTGACTTTGGAAGATCTTGTCTCACGGGCCTTGCTGTTGCTGCTCTACACGTGTCGTATGAGAACCGTGAATCGCTGTTTTTTTAGTAAAGAAGTGAGAATATACAGTGCGTGGGACTGTTCTGCTGCTCAAGGTCAACGACGGGGAGGAAATTTCCAAGTCTGTTCCGTGGTCATAAGTCCAGGTTATTTGGGTTTGTGCTCACCTGATCTGGTTTGGTAAAAATCTTTTTTGATGAAAGAACAGTTTCCCTGTGTCTCCTCTGAGCAAAGAGCAAGTGGACCTTCTTGAGCCTAAGCCTTACCCTTCCTCTGGTAGAACCAATGTTGTGTTATTTTTTTCCAGTGGTCAGGTGCTCTGGGCTTGCGGTTCTTTTTGATTTGTTGGTGGTGTTGGGGTTTGTTTTGTTTTGGTTTTAGATCTCTGTTGTAAACCACGGACTTTATTGGCCACTAACTGGCTGCTTTCCCATGACACGTCTGTTTTCTTGTCTGCTTACCCCTTTTTCTTGAGTCTTCCTCCTTGCTGCAACGTGCTTCCATCTCCTCGTGTGTTTCCTCTGGGGTTAGGCCCACGTCAGTATTCACACTTGCTTTTCTTTTTTTTTTTTTTCTTTTTTTTCTTTTTAACTCGAAATTGCTGAAATTAGGGGAGCGGAAGATCAAGGCACTGAATTTGTGGGTGTGCTTGTTCTCTCAGTCCCATTTTCCTCTGAATCATCTAATGAGATGGGTGCTCTTCCCCTTCTTTAGTTTGTGTCTTCCTGTTCTTTCCTTTCTCCCAGACTCTATTTCATCTCTCTGCCCTGCCCGTTTCAGCTCCCCTTCTTCTCCTTTTTAACTTTTCTGTCTTAATACCTGCTCTCTTTACTTTTTCTTCCCTTGGACCTCTTCCCTCTGTCCTTTCTGCCCCATCCTCTTCCCTTCCTCTTCATCCCACCAGATTCAGTCCAGTCAGACTCCACTTGCTCCCTCTTTCTGTATCGCCTTCCCTTTTCTCCCATTTCTTCCCTACTTGCAGTGGGGTAGGAAGTTTTTCTTCCCACCGTTAGATCTGTCCATTTGGTGCTTCTCAGGAGCCCACCGTTTACTGGCTGGTTGCCCACCAGCCCACGTGTAAGCCCATGGGCAGGTATTTGAAGGCTGAGAAGAGACCAAGTTGATCAGAAAGTCCTTGGGAACATGCTCGTGGTTTGGGAGACTCATGGGTATGGCCTTAAAATTGGTGCAGCCTCTTGGAGACAGGAAGAATGAGCTTAAGAGCTCTGTGAACAGAGTGAGTGATCCCCTCCATGGATCCCTTTCTCAATGGTAGGTTTAAAAACAGCTCGGCCTTCCTTAATGTTTTCTTGATGTAGGTGTGCATGTAGTGACTCTTTTACTAGCTGCTTCTGTCCTCTCCAGCCTGGCCTAGCCGCCGTAGTCACTCAGCTTTAAACCAGGAGAGCCTATTTATTAGCTTACTCATTTTTATTTAACTGGCCTTTTCCCATGGTGAGTATCACAGGGCGAGAAGGGACGTATCTGCTGCCACGTATCTACTCCCAGGGACAGGCTGGAGGGGACCAGGACGGGTGGGAAGCACTCAGGTGTCGCAGGGCTAGAAGGTCTTTCCAGTAGGACGCCCTCCCTTGTAGGACGTGGGGTGGAACCTCTAACTCTTGAGGTAACTCAGCGTAACTCCGCTGTCAGCAAATATCTGTGGAGGCCGGTGGCAAAATGTCCCCTTCTTCCCCAGTAATGACTGGTCCACGTGAAAAATGGAAATTCACTGCCGCTGTCATTGGCTCTGTAAACTCAACCTGGCTCTGGGGATGGAGTCAGCGTGACTACAGAGAATGGAATTGGGAGGGAAGAAACGCACAGGCAGCTTTAATTAACCTCCTTTGTGTATATGCATTACGATGCAGTCTTTAATTATGTGATCACATACTATTTTTTCCCCAAAGCAGTTGCGTCTCGTTTAGCTCGAGAGGATGGA